AACACGCGTTTGGCCCAACTTATTAATCCAACTGAAATTGAAACCAAATTGTAAACATGTTTGTTTTCAGCAAAATATTTACCAAAAACATTCATTTCTCATGAAAGTATCAAAAAAACAAAACTGTAACCAGCAAAAAATGTCAAAAATTTGCTTTCCAGTCACAACAAAAACTGTGCCAATAGAATGGAAAATTTAATTTTACTTTTTTCTCCAAATTCATTTCAAACTTTTATTCTAAATTTGAATTCATTTCAATATCGAAACATTTTTTGACCATTTAGTCCTGAAATTTCTCTGATCTTTTCGAGTCAAGACTCAGTCATTCTGATTCAAGACTCGGAATTTACAGGAAAACATTTTCACTGAGCTAATCAAATATCAAAATCAACATCGAAAATTTGATTTTACTTTTTTTCGAAATTAATTTTTAAGTTTTTTTAAATTCATTTGAATATCGAAACATTTGTCAACCAATTTTGCCTTGAAATTTCTTTAATATTTTCGAGTCTTTTCCTGACTTGGAATCTACATTTAGCATTTTCATTGAGCTAATCAAATATCCAAATTAATAATAGCATTGCTTTTCATTAGAAGCAAAATTTGATTTTACTTTTTTAGAAAGTTTTTTTAAATTCATTTGAATATCGAAACATTTGTCGACCAATTTTGCCTTGAAAATTGACATTTTCTGCTCAAGTCTTTTCTCGATGCAAGAATTGACTTTTGGAAGTTACATGATGAAGGAATTTCCATTGAGCTAATCAAATATCCAAATTAACATTGAAAAATGTGGAGTTGCTGAGGAAAAGCCAACAATGAGAAAAGTCAGCAGAAAATTTGGAAACAAAAAAGACGTTTCAATGTGCTTTCACTAAACTCTTTGTCACTCATGTCATTCATCTTGATCATCTTTGATCCTCATCATATTGCATTCTCATCTTGATCATCTTTTGCATCCTTGTTTAACCACAAAATACCCTGAAAGAGGATAAAGAGATGAATATTGAGAGTCAAAGCGCTACAACAACAAATCGTTTCAAGCAGCAAAACAAGATAACAGTAAACAGACTTTGAAAAGATGAAACATTTTCAGTGTTAAAAAGTGCACAGATGAAAATTAAAATGAAAGACCAAAATTGCATTGTTCATCCCATCATCCTCTTCATCCTCTTCATGAACATTCACAAGTACAACTTTGACAGTTTAATGCCGAAGGCATGAGAACATCTTTTTTCGTCTTTCCTCTTCCTTCTTCTCAAGTTTAACCTGAATCGCCATGTTCACCTTGGATAACAGGAAATTTCACTTTTCACATTGTTATTTACATATCAAACACTTTCAATCTCATGTTTATTTTCATTCAGATTCATCAACAAATTATCAACATTTGTAACTTTATCCATCAATCAGTTCAACTCTCATTTTCACTCCCAGTCAAGAATCACTTTACATTCAAAACCAATTAGTAATTCGAAGACAATTTTTTCATGAGTTGAATAATCAGTTGAGTTCATTTAATGATAGAAATTTCTGTTTAAAAATAAACCAAAAAGTGGTTAAGTTATTCAATGCACAACAAGAATTAGCATGAAATATTATAAAATATTTTTTCGCTTAAAAATGGAAAAATTTCATTACTTCCGAATCAACAGATTTCTTCTTAAATATTTTTCTTCTCCGATCAAAGTGAACAAGCTCAACTTATTCATTAACATGTTTCATGGAAAATCATTAAAAGAAGATAAAAGTTCTGAGAAACGTGATTCTCCAAGTTGTGTAAAAGGAAAGAAGAAAAATGTTCAGTTATTCACTGATTCACCATGAGTATCATCACTTTAAATCTGATCATCATCATGATCGTCATTCAATAACATTCAGTAGGTTATTGTGTTATCAAATGTTCATCACATTGAATGGCTTGCAATGCGTCAATGAAGTCAAGAAAAAGATTCAATTCTTATCCAACCTTTACTCATTGTTATAACAATTTGTTGATTGAATAGCGCAAATTGAATCGACTTAGCATAATTAATCGAAACTTTTGTCCATCCAGTTCATTCGAATTGCGTCTTTACAGAGTTTCAAATGTTTTCATCAAAATTTTGCTATTTACAGAGTTCCTCAGAACTAAATAGGTCAGGGTTGCTGCATGTAATCTTTTATCAAAACCACCATCAAATGAGATCTAATTTTTTTTATTAACCAATAATCTTGGCAACTATGAATAGTTTGCCTGTTAACATGTTGTGACTTTTGTGAAACCAAAATTAACTCGATTTTGTAAGCTTGACATTTTCCGATTTTTTATGTTCCAAATTTGCATCCAAAAGATTTAAAGTCTAACAATTGAACAACATTAACCGATGATCAAGTAACAATTTAAACAGTAAATTGTTAAATCAATTATTTTCTCAGGCATTAAAGCCAACTCAAAGTTTGTCTCAAGTAATTATTGCAACAAGCAAATCTTGGGAAAATGTTGACAAAACTTTGGTGACTAAAGTTGAACAACGTTTAATTTTAATTTAAGTCAAATGTTGACCTCTAAACTAGCAAGTAATCAGGTTCAACTTAACCAGTTTACCAGGGATTATTAAATTCATCGTTTATTTTCTGCATGTGAAACGAATAAATTGATCGTCAAAAATTTTTACTCAAAAAAGTTCGTTTCAACTCTAGTCTCGAGAAGATTTGAAAGAGTCGAGATAAATTTTGGGTCATTCACCGATTTATTTTCATGTTTCCTAATAATATTGACAAATTTTGCTAACAATTTTCGTGAAGTCTAATGAGCATTATATTGAAAAAGACTGTTCAAACTTCACCATCGATACCTCGAGATACTGCATTTTGGTAAAGAGTTGAAAAGTCACTTTTCAAAACAAGTAACATAAGTCGCTAATAAAAGTTGAAAATATCGTGATTGATCGCACTTGGACCAAACCATCAACAGTTATCAATGATACATTAGCACTGTTAATAGCGTTTCGAGGGGAAACCAACACTTTCAAGCTCTTATAGCTGCGTCATTTGATCCAGTCTTGAAAATCATTCTCAAACTTTCAGCGCCAATGTTGACAAATATTGAATCGTCCATGCCATTGACATGAAAAAACATTAAAGACTTGAACATGAATTTGATACTAATTTACTAACTGTAATAAGAAAATGCATTGATTGAGTCAAATTACTGGACCACGATTGAACTGTTGCTTGTACAACTAATATCACCTTTAATCTTGCCTCATGATACAAGTTTTAATAGCATGATAGCAATTGAGAATAATGTTTACAGAAAAGGAACCTTTTCTTTCATCTTTTTATTGTTTCATTTTTGTTCACTTTTGCCACTTTTCATATTATCATGTTACATGTTTTCCAGATTTTACTCAATACATTATTTAGGTTGAAATCTCAGAGGATGAGAAGAGATTAAGAGATTCGGGTTTGAACCAGAAAGATTTGGTCAAACATAATGATGATTTTAAGCATAAAGAAAAGGCAAAGAGAAAAGAGAAAAAGTAAATTGTAATTGTTGAGGTTCACTTGATGATCTTCATCATCATCATGTTGGTGATATTATCTCGATATATTTTATTACAAAATCATTTATCTCTCTCTCTCTCAATCTACATTTCAGCTTGTTAAACTTTGAATATTTTAATATCAATTTTGAAAGGATCACATTTTGAGCGGGAAAAGGCAGAAGGTTATTAAACATCTAAACTTCAGGTTAAAACTTGAAAATGAAATTATCCAAAACAATTAGGTTACTCAGGATACTCGGGATAATAATAATAAAAATGATATTAATAATGATGCAAGTTAATGTAATGGCTATAAAAATAATAATGATAATAAAGAGTCTTCAGTTTGATCATTTAAAGTTGAACAAGAAAACAAAGTTTAAGAAAATTGTTGAACATCTTTAACAGATTAAACCAACGGAGGTTAATCTAGTAAATGTAATTAACTGTCCCATTTGAATCAATTGTTGATTAGTCAGAAGATAATCGCAATTGTCCGAATTAATCTTGAATTATTGTGAACATTTCCTTTTCTCAGGTTTTTAAAGTGAAAATTAATGGAAAAGATTAACATGGAAATGATTAAAATGATGTTAAAATGAGATTATGATGAGATGAGGATGATTAGGAAAAGGATGAATCTTTTAAAGTTACAATTCTGTTGAGACAAAAAGGCTTCATGTTTAAGGTTTGCTTGTTTACGCTCTTAACGTAACGTCAACACGTAACGAAATAATCACGCAACGTTGGTTGGAACAAAAAGAAAGACTGAAAAGAGAAGAAAATTGTTTATTGAATAAACTCACCTTGCATCAGGCCCAATCCCTTTACCTGACTACCTCCCACTTTACCCTCCTTGAATGACGTTCAGTGATAAACATGAGGTTGATGATGAAAATGGTTAACAAAGAGAGGCATAAGAAAGGGCAACAAACTCTCAACAATGTCCAATGTCGTTGCTTAGCAAAAGAGAGAAAAAAAGATTTTCCTTTTTTTTCAGGTAAAAAAAATTCTGTGAATCATGTGACTTGTTCAGCCAGACTGTATTAATAACTTTACCTTTTTTAACTGCATGAAGGTAAAGAGAGAGAAAATCACTTTAAAGGTTGACCTTGTCTGAGTATTCATTGAATTTTGTATTATTAATGTTAACTCAATTTTGTTCATTCAACAATCATTTTTGTTTAACTTAATTATTATCAAAACATTTGCTTGAAACAATGAATTTATCGTTAAATTCACTAATAAATCAGGGTTAATCTTGAAATTTTTTTCATTCTCAACCTTTTTTCCAACCTAAAGGTAAAATTGATTTTAACTTTATCACAGCTTTTTTTGTTCAATTTACACAAATCTTGATGAAAATTTATTTTCTCAAATTTTATCTTTTTTTTCTCGCTCTTTTTTCTCGTTGATTCAATAAAAATTGCTGCATAAATTATGGTTCCTTCAAAAGGTATCATCATTATCATCCAATAAACTTCATCTTTTATCCCAATGTACTTTACTAACCCCTCACTTTGCCCGCAGCATTGCACAGTAAAAGTTATGATTATTTATCAACAACAATCATGATTATAATGATAATGTTATCATGCTTGTTATTGCTCTTATCTCAACATATAATATTGTTGTTGTAATGTCTCATAACCATGTGAGTTACTTGAAGCATTTCAATGACAATTCAACAATTCAATTTTATTCATATTTTTACCCTGCAATAATCAACTTTGTTATTAATAAATAATAACATTGCTTATTATTGCTATTTATATTAATATTTTGTCAATTAAATTTGGCGCTCCTTATCCTTCTTGGACGATCAGCTTTGCCGCTCACTGTTGCCATTGCTACAAGATATCCAACCAAATGTTTGACAGTTTTGTTGAATGCTGCTTAATTGTAATTGATGAGATTAAATGCTAGTTTTAACTGTTTGTATCATCAAAATGGCAATACCCAATGGTTCCTATTAACACGAGTAACTTCAATTGGCCTCCAGAGAAATCAAAATATTAGTAAGTTGCATTTTTTTCTGCCTCCTCAGTCTTGTGTTTGTTTACTCCTTCATCTTGGACTCAAACTTCATCTTTATCTTTTCCATTGGTGTTTCAATTGTGCCTTTTCTTGATCATCATAAACATCGTCATCATCAGCTTTTATCCTCGCTCTCTGGATAGTTGTTTCCCATCTCTATCAATTTTGTCTTTATGTATTAATGATATTATCAGCTTCACTATTAAATAGCAATGTTAATCACTGAGACTCTCACGTTTATTAAAAGTCAAATATTGAGTAAGTGAGAGTTCCAGTTGACCAAACAACAAATCTCATGGTATCTCTCTCCCTCTCTATCTTATCAACTTTCATCATCTTCCCTCTACTCCATCTGTCCTCATCTTTTATCAACCCCCAAACCTTGAGGTTATTACATTGCAAAATTAGTATTTGCTTAGATCATTTTTACTCTCTCTTTCTCTCTCTCTCTCTCACTCTTAAAATTATAATAACATTTATCAGGATGAAAATAAAAAGCAGGCAAGAGAGTTAATCAATGATCCGTTTTTTCCCTCTGCCTTTCTTTATCATTATAACTGGAAATCACCTGGAGATCACCTTTGATTATTTGATAAATTGAACATCTGAAAATCAACTATCAGATTACACTGAACTTTTCTGAACGCGACTTTGCAACTCTTGTAAAAAGTCAATGTGAAACATCCAAGTAAACAAGAGAGGGAGAAGCAAGCTTTCCATTCAATTTCCAATTACCATCATCATTCTTCATGTTAATGTAATAATTTAATGCTCATTATAGTCATCATCATCAGGATTGCGAAAATTTTGCCTCTTCAAATGTTGTCCAATTGAAAAATTGACCTAATTATGAGAAAAATGTTGAGGAAAAATGAAGAGAAAGAATAAAAGAAAAAAAAATCATTAGTGTTTAAGAATAATCATTTTTATACGATTAATTCAATTTTCAAGGTAAATCTTTGTCCAAATTGATCAGCCTGTTAGTTTATCATGATGATAGAATGATGAAGAAAAAAGTAAGTCCAAATATCTTGTTTGACCTTCTTTCGCTTCACTGTCTTCTTCTCATCATCATCATATTTCTCGTCATTTCCTTTCCTTCATTTTCATACATGTTTCACGCAAGAGACGCTCAAGGATTCATAACGTCTCAAGTGACCCAAGCTTTTCAACCTGCCAAATCATTTTACCTTCGTCTTCGTCTTACCCATCATCATCACCATCGCCACCATCATCAACCTTCTCATCGTTTTCCCTCTGTACCTGAACTTGTAATTGGCTAAGCTCAATTGCATATCTTTTTCCTTCTTTTTTTTTCTTCATGTCTCTTTACGCGAATTTTTCCAGTTTTTTCTTCTGTTTTATTCATCATCTTGTCTCTCTTTCTTTCTCTCTCTTTTTTACCTTCATTGAAAATCCTGAAGTTGATGAAGATGATAAAAAAGAGAGAAAGAAAAGAAAGGAGAAGAAAAATGCAACGCAAAATGGTTCATTGAACATTTACTTCTTATAATATGAAATGTATTATCGATAGAGGGAGTTACTCTTTGAGTTAATATTGAGTTTTTTTCTGAGCTTCTCAGTAATTTATATGTAGCTTGAGCTAAATCAGGGAAAGAAAGGCAGAAGAGAAGCTCGGTGAGTCTCTCTTTTTATCTGTCTGTAAACTTTTGCTCTTCTTCATCATCTGGTTTACCCTCTTTTCATCTGTCTGCTTTCAGTCTGTCAGTCTAAATCAATTTAATCCAATTAATCAATTACATGGTAAAAATTACATTTACAACACAAAATAACTTAACCTAATCCAAGAGACATAAATAAAGGGTGTTGCGTTTAATAAGGTGCAATTATCAGTTACCAAAATGAAGATAAAAAGATTAACAATGTAAGATGTCTTGGTCTTTACCTTTGTCCATCTTCTTATCTACATTTGGGTAACTGATAATTGCACCTTATTAAACGCAACACCCTTTACAATTGCACTTGCTAAGTTGATTAGTTACTAATCATTTGCAGATAACTAAACGAGCAACTTTCAAATTGTTCAAAAGGGACAGTTCAAAAGTTACTATTAGTTATAACTTATAACATTTAAAATTGATCAATTGCTGATCAGATAAATTTGATTCAAGAGAGAAAAAATTAACACAATCATTTGTATTGATAACAAAACTTTTTCATATGAAAAGTGAATAAAAACAAATGATTGACAATCTAATTGGTAACCTTGATTAAATCAAATTAAAACGAGAACAAAAGGTTAACCTTTTCATTAAATGTTATCATAATCATCATGTAATCAATGAATAGATTCATTTCATAGGATTTCCATGAAGCTTTTAACCATTTAAAATTATCCAATTAATTTTCAACTGAACAATCATTACATTTACCTGAGTACTTTTGGGGGTAAATAATGATGATACAAATTAATTAGGTGTGATCAATTAGCAATCAATCAAAATTGTAAGCAAAAATTCGTGTAACATCTACAAAAGGTTACTAGCTAGGCCTGGCTGAGCAACAGCCGAAAATCAAAATCAATAATTTTCTGTAAATTTGGTTACAGAATTGTATCTTTTCAGTGGATTCAACACCTACGTCAACAGTCTTAAAAATTGATAACATTAATAAATAATAATAAACAACAATAATGTTAAATAGAATCGGCTTTTGGGCATTTGTTATAATAAAGATACTTTTTAGGTGCAGTTTTAAGAGCTTCACAGAGCTTTAAATCCTACGCTATTTTGTTTTTATATCATTGATAACGACTTTTTCATTTCATTATTTCTCTCTCTTTTTCACTCTCTTTCAGATGATGACGGTGGTGATGATGGTGATGATGATATTGTTGAACTAATATTGAGCTGTAAGTGGCAAATTATCTTTCCTTACTTAATCTAACCTCATTTGGAAAGGTAATATTATCATTCTTGTTGTTTCTCGTGCTGTTGTTACTGTTTGTCAATAATTATGTTGTCCTCAAGGCCATAAATGACCTAACATCAAGTATCAATATCAATTCTGATTAAGCTTACAGTGTACCATGAGACAGAAAAGGGTGAGAACAGGTAACATCAGATTTCGCAACTTCTATTGAGCATCTAATGAAGAAGAAAAGGAGGAAAAAACAATGTTAAGGTTAATAGAGTAATGCTTTTTGTTTTTCTTCAAAGGTTCAACTCGATGAATTATTATTCAATTATTAGCATACTTGGTGAATTATGAAGTAAAGCTTGGGAAATGAATGAAACAGATAATGTGGCCATTATGATTCCGTGTTGATTGTGTCCCTCAAATGAACCAGACAGATCCTGAATATAAGGAAAACAAAAAAGGAGTAAGAAAAAAGTGATTAATTTATTATCAATTATGTCTTGACTAATGACTTTATCATTTTCATTTCCATCATCAATCTCATCAAGATCATCATCGACGTCGTTGTCGCCGTGATCGTAGTTCTCATTGAAATCAACTCTCTCTCTTCCTTATTTCTCAACAATTTATTTTACATCAATTTTCTTGTCTCTCTTCCTCTTTCTCTCTTTCCATTTCTCTTGTTCATCTGAATTTGTTCAACTTTGAAATTTGATGATTAATGGAGGAAATACTCTCAACATTCTTACATGATCTAATGAACATAATAACTTTTCTTGTACCTTTTTTTCAACACCAAAACAGTCAATGATTAACGTTGAAAAATAAAAAAAAAGATATTAAGTTTCGCTTGACGCTAATCAACATTTCCTGCACAGTTTTACTGACAATATGTGAGTATCTTTTTAAATCACAACAGTCGACGCAAGTTCAAAGGTTGAAAATGTTGAACAATCCAGTGACACCTCAATGCTAGTCAAGTTACAATGTCAAAATTTTCAAAGTTGCTGAATGAAGGACATTTTACCGTTTCAATCCGAAATCAAAATTAAAAATGTATTTTCCTGTTCAGTTTTGTTCTTGGGGAAAAAACCATCCACAATAGTAATCATTATCAAACACCACCTATTAGAAAGAGAAGAAAGGGAGAAATTAATCCTAGAAATTTTGTTAGCTAGTAAATGTATGAATGACGTTTGTTGATTTATTTACGTGTTTCAAATACTTACGTATACGTACACACATGAACAGTATGGGAAAGAGAAGGAAAGAGCAAATGAACAAAACCAATACAATAAAATAGAAATCATTATTTTATGAACAGTAACCAAGTTGATCGAGTTTATTTGAATCAACATTGACGTAAAGGAAGTTTGATGACGATGAAATGTCTAGGAATCGGCTTGAAACCTGTAAATTAGAAAGAAATAAAAATCTCAGATTAAAAATTGAAATAAACATAATTGAACACAATGCGTTGTTAAAACCAGGTAAAAAGCAAGGCGACAATGATAATCAAATATAAAATAGTGATTATTGACACTTACATACCTGTTTTTTTCTAAGAGAAAGTAACAACTTTAGTGACCTTGAAAAGTGAATCCATAGAAAGCTTTTATTTAGTCTGTGTTCTTGTGTTCAACCATCTACAGCGAAACTATTATCTCCCACTTTTACTTTCTCTTTCTATATCTTCCACATCTCAGGCCATTGGCCGTTCCCTTGGCTTTTTATGCTACTTTAGCTTCTCATGTTGCTTCTGTTGATGTTTTCCATTTTCTTCTTCGGGTTGGTGGCCTCAAAATTTTTCCTCTTCTCATCATTTTTTTGCTCTTTCTCTTGCCTCTCTTACTCTGTCTATTTTTTTTCTCTTCTTTTTTACCTCTCATTCTTTTCCCTCGCTTTTTTTTCTACCTGCTTGTCTGACTGACTGTCTGTCTGTGGATATACCTTCATTTTTTGCTTTACTCTCCTTGTTCTTCAGCCTTTTCATATCTTCAGTTGATGGTGTTTCCATCCTTACAGAGGTAAATCCAGCCATTCGTTTCCTCTGGAATTTCATGTTTCATTTGCCATTTTTTTTGTTAGATTGCTCAAAGACAATTTTCTAAGTAAAGAAGAGTATTTTTAAAAAAAACAAACAGACAAATTTCATTGATTCACTTGACCAACGTTGAGCGCTTGGAAATCACGCAAAGCGTGTTAATTTTAAGCTTACCTTTCTCTCTTCATCTGACTTCTTTAAAACACATCCACTGAGTCCCGCCAATTTTTGCCATCTTGGTTTTGAGTTACAGGTTTTAGGTTTTATGTTTGGCTTCACATTGCTTCACTCTCAGGAATAATGGTTTAAATTTTGAGGCTTAAATTTATTTAGGTTGAATGACAAACGCTGTTGCTTTTTCAACTCTAATTCAGTAAGGCTTTTCTGTTTCGCTAAAGGAAAGAGAAGAAAAGAATTGATTAGGATGAAAAATTATTAATCACAAGGCTAAGGAAACGGTATATTCCCAATTCATGATAACATGGGCACTTGTCATATCATCATCTGTTGATAATTTTGACGACAATTGATTGTAAGCCACATGTTTTCAAGCTGTAAACAAAAAAAAAGTGTTACAGATTAACTAAATTAAGCAAATTTAACGACAATGACAATGCCAGCCATTTAAATTGTATGAAATCAATCTTCAATCAGTTGTCTATCAAAAAAATACAAAAAAACACATTGTTTCTCACGCTATAAAAACAGTAACTATTAATTAATAGAAACCATTTTATAAAAAAAGCTAGAGTCCAATAAGTCCCTTTGCACCGAAAATGTATTAAAAATAAATCCAAAAGCTGAAACAGATGACAACACAAATGTATAATTACCAAGTAAAGGCAGAGGTAGAAAAGAGCACAAATTAAAACAAACTAATTGGCAAAAATTAATTAAAAAGTCCAAAAATTAAAAAATAAATGAAGCCCAAGGAAAAAACATGGAAGAAAAATGAAAATAAAAATGGCTTAACCAGTGACTCAATAGAGCAAAACCTTAGCAAAGTTCAATGCGCGCCAAAAATGAAAAACGCGGGCAAAGTAAAAGAAGAGGTTATTTCAAAAGGGAAAGAAATTTGTTTCTCTTAAATGTTGACCTTTCTTCTTTAAAAGTAAAGGAATTTAAAGAATGTCCAAAGGATTTCTGTTCCCAAATATTTTCCACTTTATAGACTGAAATAGTGCCTTAAGGAAAAATAATTTACCAAAAAGAGTCAAGACTGAAATGACAGAAGAAGAATAATAAGAAGCTTGTTTGGAAACTCTTTTTACAACAAAATGTGATTTTCTCATTGAGAAGAGAAGTGTAAAGCAGGTATGAAGAGGGGAGAAAAGGTAAAAAGAACATCCCTTTTCTCAATGATTCACCATCATCTTCTTCATCATCTTCATCATCATCATCATCATCGTCATCTTCAACATTATCTTGACTCCTGGATATGTAAGTTACCTTCTTTGATTCTTGTGGTAAGCGCGTGATTACAACAATTTTAAAGGTTCAAGGAAGAAGCTGATCATCATTATGAGCCCGCCAAAAAAAGTAAAGGTAAGTAGATGATCAATAAGACTGAAAAAAATGTCTTGAAGAAGAGAAATCAAGTTTTTCGCGCGTAACTTTAAAATACAAGTAACAAGCTTTAAACATAATGGATGGAAAGGTAAGAATGATTTGCTTTTTTCTTTTCTCTTTTTTTCTTCGCCAGAAAACCCTAACAGGTATTTTGGTAGGTATGAGTACGCCTCAAGAAAGGAGGAGGAGGAGATGAAGATGAGGATGATGATGAAGGTTAAGAAGAAGAAGAAAGCTCCAGCCGAGAGGAAAAGGGCAACGAGCTCTACTCTATTCATTCACAAATATTTTCATTGCATTTTTTTGCTCAATTTTTTTTCTTTCTCTTGCTTCTTTTTCAACAGATTGTTGCTTATTTTGCAGGTAGGTACTTACCTTTACTCTTTTTTTTGTGTTATTTTGTTCACCACTTTGAGTCTCTATACCTTGTTATCAGTGTAAATAGACTGTTTGAAAAGGCGCAAACAAAAACAAAACAAAAAAACCAGTCAATGTCAATGGATAAGCATAAGGTAAGCAAAAATGGATGAAGATGAAGATGAAGGTTGATGGCGTTTTATTCATCATCATGATGGTAATGTGAGAAAAATGAAGTTGAAAAGCGTGCAAGGACAAAATGAATTGAAATGATAACGATCAAAGTTGAGTTACAATCAGAAATTAGGAAAAAATGTAAAACCAGAAAAAGAGTTAAAATTGTATTGTCTAACCAAAGTCTCTCAGTTGATATGATCAATGTTTTAGCAAGAAAAGGATTCTGGAATTAACCACAATTAACCGATTTTTAATTGTAACCAGAACAAGGTTAAAAGCAAATAGTGACTTGATTGTGTTTAATTGGCAAGTCAGTTAAATCATTGATCAATTGGCCAAGGCAATAACAATGATAACTTATGTTCATCTCAAAAGGAAAAAAAGAGATTCAAAAGAAAACTGAAAATTCAAATCAAGGTGGAGCTGAAAAGAAAAGCAAATCTTATTCAGAAATGGTCAGTGTAACTATTTATGAGGACCGACCAACCACGACCATTGCTATCTGGTTTACCTAACCATAAGGCTCGAGCTGTTCACCTAAAAATTGTCTTGACTCTGATCTCTATTGTATTGAATATAAAATATTAATCATAATAATCACGCTAATAATGATAACAATAGTCAATCATGAATTTATCATTAGAAAATTGATTTTAAGGTGAGTTCTTTTCACCATTATTTACCTGTAATGAAGCTCTCAAAGAGAGAGAGAGAAAAAAGAGGGAAAATCTGGTTTTGAGATGAAGTTTAAAATCAATGGCCTTTATTATTATATTTTGGGTTTTATCAAGGTTTTGTTTGTTCATATAACGTCTAAACTTGCAGCATTTCCCGCCACTTCTCACATGGCTATGTTTTGCTTTACATTTGTTGTTGAGATCAAGTTACTTGAGCAACTTTCTCAGTCAACCTTTTCAAGCTCATTTTTGCCCTCATCATCTTCATGTTGCTATTTTCCGTTCGCCTTCCATGTTTTTGTCTGCATCTTTTGCTTCACTGATTTTTCCAAATGATATCAACGACTTTAGAGTTTATTTCAATCTCTTTTTTTTCCTCCTTCTTTTCCATCATGGCGTTGGTGTGATTGAATGTGATAACGGCAATTGATCTGTTGGTCGATACTGTTTAGTCTTTGCTTTTGTCATCTTCAGGGAACACTTTTTTGCCTTCATCATTTCCATCTTCATCAGATTGATTACCTCTTTGTCTTCAGGTTCACTGAACGATTCATTTCCATTCACAATTTTTCATCTTTTTTCTTCATATTTTTTCTTCTTCTTCCCTCTCTTCACACTTTCACACTTGCAACATATTAATATCAACTAATCATGACAATTATTGCAATCATAATTACACTTTCAACTAATCATTTGATCCTCACTTTTTGTCCTCCATTAACTATTATTTTCAATTTTCATCCAACTGCATTCATTAAACTGAAAATGAAAATTCATTTTCCTTTCTTCTTTTGGGTTTCTCGTCCTTCTATCATTTTTTGTTACCTTAACATTTTTACTGTTCAACAAATTATTCAACACATTTTGACAACATAATTCTTACAGGTTAATTACAATTACAAGCTTCAAGTAATCAAGTAAACTTGATGCTTTAAATGTTATCATTAGGATAGATGGAAATGGCAAGTTCAATGTTAATCTAAAACACTGTGTTAGTATATTTGTTGTAGCTCAAGGTGGAGATGAAACTCTGCGATTCTGTGAGTGAACAAAACAAACGCTAATACAAAAGCCATTCATCTTAACTTAGACATTTAACTGATGAATGATAAAAGGTAAAAATAAGTGACTTTCTTGTGATTGTTTGATAAAGTAATATTTTAAAATCATAATTAGTCTGAAACTTTTCCCAAGAATCAACAATTAAGGCAACAATCCTGATATTTATGTTGAAGGAGGACAACAAAAAAGGATAATATTATACATTAACCTTTAACAGGTAACAAGCAAGACTCATTTTTTGGTGTTTATTTGTGTGTGTGTGTTTGTTTGACAAAAGTCAACTCACAGATTAGCATTATGATTAGTTTGAGAGTTGATTGATGGTTTATTGTGGTGGTGATAGTGGTGATGATGGTGATGCCAACAATTAGCATTTGAGGAGCAATAAAATTAGCACATTTGCATGTGTAACGAGTTATACCATTTTATGCTAATTAAATTGAGCTTGTCATTGAATCTTGTCTTGCTGATTATGTCCTTGCAACCTCAACTGTAACGTTGAAAAAGGCTCACATAGAGGATGAGAAGAGAAACGAATTATGATAAAATAAGAAAATTAGAAGAGAAACAAACGATGAGGATGATAATTAGAAGATGAACATCTTTCAAGGGTCGCCCTAACATATGAAAGTAATTAAAGAACAATCATCATCATCACCGTCATCATTATCATCATGATAGATGTGATGAATTACAAGAGTTGGACAAAAAAGAGAAACTCTGAAGACAGCAAATGTTCAATGGAAAAAGTATATTTTTTTGAATTGCTTTTTTTGGTAAACAAAAAGTACTTACAACAAGACAATTTACAATTAAATTAATCAATTTTAAACTAATACCATTCATGCTTCTAATAGATAGTAATAATAATAGCTTAGCAATTATCATGTTTTCAATTGAGTTTTACTGATATTATTATTATTATTGCTACTAGTTTGATTGGTATTGTTTTGGTTAACAGTTTTGTTGATTATATTGTCAATCCATAATCTGTAGGCGGCGGTTTTCATGTAAACACCGGGCAAGTTGGGCTCAGCGCATTTAATTCCATGTGAAACGGTACCAACCAGAACCCAATGACCGTTACTTTTTTGAACCATCAAAGGTCCACCAGAATCACCTTCACACGAATCTTTACCACCATCAGTGTAACCAGCACAAAGAAAGGTTGATTTAATCTCTTTATCATGACCAGCATTATTGAACATTTCTTGGCACTTATCATTTGCAAGGATCGGTAGTTTAACCACTTGAAGTATTGAAGGTATTGGTCCACCTGAAAAAAAAGATAATCAACAGAAAAGAAGAAAAGAACAGATAATTTAAAATTTACTCCTTTTTTTGTGGCTTCTCATTTTCTATTCATTTGTAAGCTTGTTTGTCAGATAAATCTGTTGAAACTCACCATAGCTTAATTTACCCCAACCAGCAACATGAGCTACTTGGCCAACAAACTCTTCTCCTGGTTCAGGAAGACAGATAGGAACAACATGAGGTTGAACATCAAATGGTGATTCCAATTCCATCAGAGCAATGTCATTCTCAAATGTTGTTGGATTATAATTACGATGAACAATCATCCGTTTAACTGGTTTCTGAATGGGCTTCAAATTTTCAACATCACCAGTTAAATCGTATTCACCAACAACTACTAATAATGAACCCCAGAATCTAGAAATTAAAAATAAATTAAAAAAACCAAGAAAAGAGTTGAAAAGATTGTCAATTAACAGTGTAATCAATCAAATGGTAATATCTGTGTAATTCAATTCAATTTTACTCTCCTCACTGAAACAGGTAAATAATGGTAATATAATTTTCCCTTTCGACCTTTTCCATTGTTCAATCTAATTGATGAACAATTTCCTTATTGTAAATTAATATTATGATTGATTATAATAACTAATTGATGATTGGCACAAATTGAAAGTCTCTTTTTTTTCAAGATTAAATTGTCCTACTTTCAATTTAACTAATTTGACTGTGAAAGTGTGTTCCGCTCAGTATTTACAACTGATCAAAGTTTGCTATAGCTTTTGCTCTGATTTGATTAGTAAACTATTAAATTGTTAATTGGAGCAATTTAATTTGCTCTCTTATTGTTATGCTATCGAAGTTTGCCAAATACTAATTTTTTCGCTCCTTCCTGCACAAGTTAATTGTTTAATGAATGATAATAATCAAAATGGCGATCATCATGATTATGATTGAAATTTCATTGTTACCCTGGTTGACAATGAGCTGCTGTTAAAACCCAACGATGATCAATGAGGACTCCACCACATTTGGTTTTCATCCATAAACCAAGCCAAGTTGCCTCTTTAATTAAAACCTGTTAATGAAAATTAAACATTAGTAAATATATTAAACATTGAATAGGTTGTTCCGAGAAACAAATCCTTGAATATCATTTTATTCATCACTTTATATCATTGAATAATCGTAAACAATTTTTTTCTCTATTGAAAAATTGATCGAAGTAGGTCAACTTTTTTTACGGTAAATTCCCATTGTTATTGATATCATTTTTCTCCTTCTCTCTATTTTCATTTATACATCTTACTGTTTTAATTTTTCAATTTTTCACATTACAATTAAAATTGATATTGACAATTAGTACGCTAAGTATTGAATAGTGAATGTTGATTGACTTTCATTTTATCAATAAAAATTGGGTTAATATTGTGAGGTTCAGTCTTTATTTGAGTTGTTACTATTAACTTTCATTGATAATTTTGTGAGGAAAATTTTTATCAACCAATTGATTTATAAATCTAAAATAAACACAATCAACATGATAGACGTTAATTTCAAGTCTCTCTTTAACTATTTAATATGATTGTAATATTTTAAGCTATTAATCGTTGATGAATCGATGAAATTTGTTTCCCGCCTAAATGGTTTGATAAATATTGATTCTCATGCAATTGAAATCAATTAATCAAGTGGACAGTTAACATGATTAATAAAGTTTAATACTTGACTAAATTAATCTTTCAATAGCAAATTGTTTAACAACAGCTCAAGGATTAAGGAGTGTAAAGTGACAAATTATTACTTTTAAATGACAGCAATTAGTAATAATTCAACAATTGATTGGATCTTTCTTTTTTGGTTAATATCATTCATTTGTAATGAAACATAACGTTTTGTTTTACTCAATGGGGAAAAAACAAGTTTGATTTGTTTACCATTTCAGTTGGGTTTGATTTTATTATCAATGAACACTTGATTCATTCAGGGTAATCAAGTATTAAATCATGCTTTCACCATGTTAATGATATTGAAATATCTGTGAAATTAAAACTTAATAACTGAATTAATCAAGTTGCTAGGGTGGCGCCAATACTACTGTTATTCAGATTGTAATTCAAGTTTGATTAGAGGTAAATAATATACCATTAGTATTGACATTAATAGTAAATTTTCAAAAAGTTGGTTAATTGACTGAACCAAATTAATTTTGAAACAAGGATCAATTATGAATCGCTTACTTGCCAAGGCCATTCACCAAAATGTGCATTTCGACCTCCAACAACCCGTGCCATTGACTTTAAAGGGCTAACACCACAATCTGTCGATAAAATGAAAAGAATTGACGATTAGAATTTGAAGATAAATTTGGAAAATTTCATGTTTAAATCGGTCCTTACCTAATTTATTGTTATAAGGCCTTTGTACGTTGAGTATTTTATTCAAAAGATTTCCTACCGAATCGGGTAATGTTGCTGGTGTAATTGGTGTTGATGTAATTGATTGGGAAGAAGAAATGGCCAAAGGCGAAACTGAACTGATTTCAGTAAACAACGTTGATAGTTTGGTTGATGGTGAAGATGAAGCTGTAGTTGAAGTTAAATCAGTGGAAGCAGTAGAGAAAGGAGAAGAAGGTATTTCTGTTGTTACTGTTTCTGTAACGGTATCAGTTAAGAAAGATGATGATGTTGATGAAGATATTATTGTTGATATTGTATCTGTTGAAAGTGTTGTTTCAGTATTGAGTATTGTTGTTGGTTCAGTTGTTGATGAGGATGACGTAACATGCGTTGTAGTTGATGATGAGATCCATGGTAAACTTGATAATGTAGCCTCTGTTTTAGCTGAGGTTGATATCATTGTGGTTGGTAGTGTTGCCGGTAAAGGTGTAATGCTTGATGGATGATCTGCAATAGTTTGACCGATTGTTGAGCTAGACTCTTGAAGGATTAATGGTGACGAGGACAAGGTTACAGTCGGTGACATGGTTGAGGTGCTTGATGACTCTTTTTCGACCACCGGTGTTGTCACAGTTGGCCTTCCTGTTGTGGTTAAATTTGTACCATTAGTGAGACCAGTAGTAGGAGCAGCGGTTGTTGTAGAAGGAGTAGTAGAAGTAGAAGTAGTAGGTGTAGTAGGAGTAGTTTTCGTAATTGGTGCTTGAGTTGTTGAGGTTTGTGTTGCATTTGTTGTCGGTGGTGATGAAGGTAAAGGCGAGGGTGAAGGTAAAGACGAAGGTGAAGGTAAAGGCGGAGGTGAAGGTGAAGGTAGAGATGAAGATGAAGTTGTTAAAGTAGTTAATACTTGTGTAGTTTTAGTTGTCGTTGTCAATGTTGATGATGGCAATTTAGGCACAGTGGTGGAATAAATATTACTAGTAAATCCATTTGATGGCTTGGGTTGATCACCAGGAAGTTGACAGCAGCTTTTAGCGTAAATTGTATCCTTACAGATGCCAATAGGCTTACCTTTTGATTGTCGACATGCTAATGAGAACATGCAAGTTCCTTTGTTACCTTTGGCATCAAAACAAGAAACTGGTCTAATTGGTTTACCATTATCACTGAAAACATCAATAACCATTGGGTTCACCAAAACACTAGAAAATAAAAAAATTAAACTCACTAGATAAAAATAAATACGTTCATTATGAAGATTATTGTGTTGGTGATAAAGGTGAAAATGATGGAAACGATGAAGTAAAAGAGGAAAGCGGAACCAAGCCATGTTGATGTTGGTGGTGGTTGATTCAGCAGCAACTCATCCTGAGCATTTTTACTTTTTTGATCCTCTAAAAAAAGCTGAGAGGATACACAGAAAAAAAAGAAAACAGAAAAAAAAGAGATAGTTATGATGATGATGATGATGAGAGTAAAACAGGAAAAGCAGTTTTCAAGGTTGGGTCATTGGCTTTTCTTACTGTTGACATGTTCAAGGTTACTAAGGAAGAGAAAGGAAGAGAGAAACAAGTGGTAAAAAGAAGATAATCAAGTGAAAAGTAAAGAGAAAGATGGTGATGAAGAAGAGCAATTAATTGAAAGTTACCAATACTTTTATCCAAATGGTTAGAAACAGACGAAATTGAATTGAGAAATTGTTAAGACTGGTTAGCCACATGGTTATTGCAGTTTAACGGTGACTGTTAACATTGGCGCTCACAGCCATCTTGAGACTATCGCTTTGTGGGAGAAACAATACAAGAAAAACAAAAGATTTGGTACAAATATGTCAATCCTAAAAGGTTAATCCTTCAAGATAAAGTGAAATTGCTTGTTGGTTTAACGTGAAAATCCGATAGATTTGTCAAGTTTCACAGGATTCAAAGGTTATGACTTATTGTTTCAAACTGAATGTTTATTTTAAACAAAAGTTGAACAAAGAGGTTAAAGTGTTGAGCTGTAACGGTTTAATGGCGGCTTATCTTCACTTCCATCTCCACCATGACTAGACATGAGACATTTAGACTACAATTTGAGACAAACATTAGGTAACCACTTAACCTTTTCAGTATGATTTGTCCACCAAAAGCTCTTTCCATTTTCCATATTTTCTCATGGTTTTAATTTCAGACTTTTCTGACTCAACCTTAGCAAAATCTCTCATCAGTGTTTGATACAAAATACGTTACTTAAAACAAGTAAACAGTTCAGTTGACAACTTGCTTTCTATTGAATTTTTCAGATTTAGTTTCTTATTTCTTAATCAAATTAGTAAATTATATGTCTAAGGCCACGATTCACTTTCATGTTCAACAAGACAACTCTTTGAGCGTGAAGTACATGTATTTTTGAAAATTGAATTAATTCCCATTGAAAGAACCATATAATGTTTGAATTGTTGACAAATAATAACAGGTAATCTGGTCTTTTGTTGGTTACCTTTTGTTTTCTGTCATTGCTTGCCTTTTACACACCATGTACAGAGATATAAACAATGGGAAGTGAACAAATCAGCAGCTCAAAAAAAAGATGACATCTTGTTAATTGTTGTACTTGGAATCTAATTGATTTACAATTCAAACAATTGCAACATTGTTAATTATTCAGTCATATTGTAGACTGTGTGGGTTACCAGTTGACTCATTTTTTTATCATGCTTTAGATGGTGTTTTGTTTGAAAACAACAAGAAAAACAAAAGGTAATACAAAGTATTATCATTTGTATATTAAATGATGTTGAGATGTGTTGATGGTGATCCTAATGATGTTGATTGTGATGAAGGAAAGGTTGAATGAGAGTAAAAATTTCAATTGGGCGTTGGACAGTTTACTTATTTGTCTATCTATCTCCTCTGGTTAACAATTAATTTGAATTTTTGCTTTTACTTATCAAAGTTTTTCATGTTAATTTAAATGAATTGTAACCAAGGGAGTTGCAAATGTAATGTCAATCACACGCGTTTAAATACTAAATTATTATAATCAATGATGAGAGCGAGAAAGATGGGAAAGAGAGAGAAACCTCGACTGATGACAGTTATTATGTTCATGATGGTGAAAGATGGCGAGTCCAGCCCATGATGATAACTGAAAAGTTGACTCTTAATTTTGTCATTTTCAAGTAAATGGGAAACAAATGGCAAATCAAGAGACACTA